CACCCACTGAGATTATAATCAAATTTCAAAATTAGTTGGTGGTTAACATGTAAATACAAGTACAACCATACCATTAGAATTTTAAATAAGTAATAAATTAATATAGCCACCAGAGAAGTGCTACTGTCATGGTTCTAACCTATAATAATACAGGCCCTGAAGCAGAATTAAGGTGTATGCAAGATGTATTTGAACATAGGTTCCCACACAAAGAAATAAATATATCTGACCTAGCAAGAAAGAGCACTGGAGAGTCATTTAAGAGAACAGGTCAAAGTGCTCACAGTTTGCCTATACTACAAACCAGGCAAGTTAATCTCCAGTAAATATTGTTTGAATGGATGAATCTAGTCCTTCGTTTCATCATTTATTAAAAAATGAGATTGGACTTAATGCCTTCTATAGTTGCTTACTTTCTATGATGTATTTTATCTGGGAAAATATAAAACACTTCAATCACTAATATGCTGAGAATTCTAGTTATTAGGACATGCTACAGAGTCTGCTTTCTGTGAACAAATGCCTCAATGACCCTGATGTGTTCTCAGAGCTAGCTTCAAGGTGTTAGTTTTATCACTAATTTTGAAGGCACTTACATGCCTACTCTTGACAACACGAGACTACAAGATGCTCAGAATGTAAAATCTTTGTTTATAGATGGTTACTATGTGTGAATAATAATCAATGCCCAGTGCTTTAATACCCTCTCTTGAGATGGCTGCTGTTCTGTGTATCATGTGTATCAGGGTGTACTGACCTTTCCTGAAATTTATGCAATTTATTGTTGCTGACAGTCCTATCTTTTGGAGGCTTGCTCTTAGCCCCTTGAGCTTAACTGTCTCAAGTTTATTTATTGTCAGTTTTATGCTTGAAATAATACTGGCTCTTGTACCTCTTCCAAGAAATTACACAAGTTGAATTAAAGGAAGTGGTTTCCTTCTCAAACCTAAGACTAAAATTTTTAAAAAAGAGTGAAAATATTTCTAAGGTAGTGATATACAAGAATTATTAAGCAGAATTAACTTTCAAACTGATAAATGCCAATGGAAAAATATTAAAGCTTTACTCATTTCAACATGAAATTTATCTAAGGAATACAACCTTCACAAAATATTTAAGAACCTGAAACTTTAATTTTAACATCAGTCCTTTTCACTTCCAGTGCTAAATGTATGATACACTTATACATTTATGAAATCTGTTTCTTTCATAGATAGTGAAATCTTTTCTCTCATCTTTTCTCACAATTAAGCATATTTCAATTTTCTTTTTTTCTACATTGTCAAAGTAGAATCCACAAGTAAATATTTGATATTTTCATTCCACATATACATTTTATTGATCTGTCCTCCATCTCACTATACGTGGTGGTAAGCAATGGACTATGAACTCAACAGTTTCAGACAATATACCTAATTGGTTTTTAAAAAGAAAGGTATAGCTAGACATCAGATAGAAATGACTGTGGACTTATTTATCCTTAATTTGTTTTGGCAAACATTTATATCAGTAATAAGGGATTAAGATTTGAGACACAGGAAAGAAAATCAGTCTCTGCTCACCAGTGTAGTGACAGATATCCAACCACAGGTAGAATAATCTAACAGTGTAGTGACAGATATCCAACCACAGGTAGAATATAGAGGAATTTGTGCTTTGGTAATGGTGGAAAAATTTAGTGGGGGAAAATCATATGCAGTCAAAATGGAGTTGTGCAGAGACAGAAAAGACGTTCTATCTGAGCAGAAAATATGGTAACAATTTTTGAAACTGCTCCTTACAAAATGCCTTGCTACTTAAAAGCCCCTTTAACCAGCACTACAAAGTTGTTTTGAATACCAAGATTAGGACTTTGCCAAATTAAATCTTTGGGAAACTTATTCCAAGTATTTTAAGGAGGGCCATGGTCCAGGTTTTGAGAAGTTTTAGTGGAAAGTCAATAATTCTAAACTTCTTCATATTAATTAGCTAAAAATAATAAAATCTGGGAGGCTTGCTGGTTTATGATGAATATACACTCTAACTCGCTTAGTGAGATCAGAACTTGCTATAGGGAAGCAGGATGGGTTTAACAATTTCATTTTTGTTTCAGATTATTGTGTGTGTGTGTGTGTGTGTGTGTGTGTGTTTAACAACTTGTATTTTTTTTTTCCAGAATCATTTGACATAAATACAATCTTCACAGTAGCCATAATAACTGTCTTCCTTAGTGAGATCAGAACTTGCTATAGGGAAGCAGGATGGGTTTAACAATTTCATTTTTGTTTCAGATTTGTGTGTGTGTGTGTGTGTGTGTGTGTGTGTGTGTGTGTGTTTAACAACTTGTATTTTTTTTTCCAGAATCATTTGACATAAATACAATCTTCACAGTAGCCATAATAACTGTCTTACTATTTTGTACTTATTTCTTCAGGTCAGCCCGATTTCTTTCATTCTTTAAGGACCCTATTTGTTAATTCTTTGTTATGATCAGCTGACATACTTCTTTGTTTTCCTCATAAAAGACATGCAAGTCAGTTTGTTTTCCAAGTATTTGGACTATTTATGTCTGTTACCCTCTCTCATAAACTATAAGGCTTGGTAGGTGTATTACGAAATTATATTTTTTTCCCTTTGAAAAACTCCACAGACATTATTTATGCTAGCATTTGTTACTGTGGAGGAGTTCAATGCAGGAAGTTAACTTAATTCCAGCAAAGAATGTTAGCTTCTTACTACTCAAAGTGTGGTCCAGGGACTAGCACTATCAGTGTCACCTCAGAGCTTGTTAGAAATGCAGACTGTTGGGTTACACCTCACAACTACTGATCATAATCTGAATTTTAACAAGATCCTCAGGTGGTCTTTATGTACATTAAAGTATGAACAGCATTGTATTTGTCCTATTTATGGTAGAAAAGAAAGAACACCATTTTAAGCTGGTATGAATCTGTATGTAAGATGGTTAGAGATGGTTTCCTATTTGGGGAAACAGGGTTTGCACTAGTAGAATATATCAAAAATATTTTTAAAAGTGACACTGGGATTGTCATTGGATTATCAAAAGTCAGTTAAAAACCCAAAGAATTCACAAGCAAATATAGTGTTTTACAGAGGTATACATGATGCACTGACCATATGTTGGGCCTTCCTGGGTCCCTAATGGCACAGGCCTGGGAAGCACCAACAGCAGTAACTCAATTTAGAAAATGAAGGATTATTCTCCAGGTAAAGCTAACATGGGGGCAAAAAGTCAAACCTCTCCTAGGAGGGAGGAGTTAGAGGATCCAGGAAATTCAGACTAGGAAGAAGCCACAGCAACAAAAGTGTCAGAAATGGCAGAGAGGGGCTGGCTGGTTAGCTCAGTTGATTATAGCACGTTGTTATAACGCCAAGATCAAGGGTTTGGATCCCTGCACTGGCCAGCCAGAAAAAAAAAAAAAAATGGTGGAGAGATTAGGGGAAGAATTAGGGGATGGGCTTTAAAATTCAGCCAAAATTAGAGATTTTCAAATGATTAGAGCAGCATCAAAGGTGTAAAACCATGAACTCTCCTTTCAGGAAATTATTATTTTGATAACTAAATGACAACCTTGCTCTTGGGAGAAAAATGTAAAGGATACAAGGGTACTTCAAAAAGTTCGTGGAAAACAAAATTGAAAGATAATATCAACCTTTCCATGGACTTTTTGAAGTACCCTTATATATTCCTTCACAAATGTTATGTTTTCATACATTTAAAATAGAAGTTAAATATTGTCTCTCATCTACTCCAAACACTTGAGTGGTCCCCATTATCACTGCTTAACTGACACCCCATTTAAAACTGAAATATCCTTCCTCAATACCACCGTGCCACCATTCTCCATTCCCCTGTCCTGCTTTATTATTCTCTAAAGCATATGTCACTTTCTAAAATACTCTTCATTCATAAAGGTTTGATTTATTGTCTTTCTATCCCTACACTAGAGTTAAACTCCACAATAGCAGGATTTTTCTATTTTGCTTACTACTGTTTTTCCCAGAGCTTAGTGCGTAGCACAATGTGGGTACTCAATAAATATTTGCTGAGTAAAAGTTGAAGAATGGATTTCCAAGAACGCAACTGTTAAAGGAAAAATGAAACGGAAGTTTAAAAACTTTTAAATACTTTAATATATCCTCTAATAGACTGTAAGCTCCATGAGAACAGATATTTATTTTTACCTCTTTTGCTGAAAGTAAGAATGGATGAAGTAGAATGTTCAGTACAGTGTACCTAACACAGCAATACCAGTTGACCGTAAGCCTTTCTTCTAACACCATAGTAATAAATGCAAGATATTTTCTCTGAATATTTCAGTTTTGAATGGGGTGGTCAGGGACACTTTACCCCCAAGGGGGCTCAGAATACGTCTTCTTTACTCCATCCCAGAGAAGTGCTGATGAGATAATGCCAAGGACACATAAGTGAGTTAGGGTACTAGGTGTTGCTTTCCAAGTAAATGGTAGGAAGGTCAAACATTCTTTCTCTGAAGGAGAGGTCTCACATCTTTTGTCATCCCTATCTGGATTTACTTTCTTCTCTACTATACCAGGTGTAAAAAAAATCTTCTGCCTCCTAGCTTGGGAAGACTGTTGTGAGATGAGAAAATCGGGATACACCAAGAGAAAAAGTAGAATGGGACAAATAGCCTGCTCTAGTCTAGACAAGAAGAATCCTTTTTACCAGGGCTGTTTTATATTATAGCAATAAAAAATAAGTATATGCCCAGGATGTGCTTAGGAATCCACAAGGGTGGTGGGAGTAGGCTCTGGTCTGGCAAATGTGGAATTGGAATCTTGGTTATGAACTGCTTGGGAATACAGTTAAAAATTAATTTTAAGAGCTTTCTTTTTCTGGCAGTTTAATAAGATCTTAAATATTGTCACTTTAGCAACCATAAAAACATAAGCAATAAATAACCAATAAACTATTTTTAGGGGTAGAATAAAGGCCTGTTTTAAATGCAGACAAAATGTGAAGTAGAAAACTGTTTTACCTGGAATGATCCAAGAATATCCTTTAAGGGCTCTTCATAAAACTCATCTCTTCCAAAGAACAGCAGCAACTCAAAGAAACTCCTAGAAAGAATAAGTGAATAACTTTCATTGCTTCTTTGAGTTTTTGCTCCAGTTTAAAAGATTATCAAGTGATAACAGCTATAAAATATTTTATTTTAAAATATTTGGCTTAAAAAAACTATCAATCATTAGAATTCATATTATGTTGTAAGATTTTAAAAGTATCATTTAGAATGTCAGTATATTTCTTTGTATTTTTCTTGAACTGTAGAATGAAATAATTATGATATTATTCATGCCTACCAGTGTCCACAATGTAATAAAATTCAATGATATACAAGGTGGCAAAAATGGTGGTTATACATGGAAGGATGATCTAAAATGGGCACATAGTCCAGCTGCACCCAATACAAAGGGACCCCAGAGAAAACCCAAATTCTGTTTTACTGGGGGAGAGATTTAATGGTTGTATAAAATTAACACAAAAACATAAGAAATAGAAACACCATGAAACTCACAGCCAACATTTTTATTACAGCATATACCACCAACTATATCAAATAAGTGAGACATGGTTCCTAAAATTCTAGGCTTACCTTGATTATCCCAATCATAAAAGGATTGCTCAAATTCTGTAGTTCTTCCTCTTTAAATAAATTATTTGGAAAATACTGTTACTAAATACTTTATGTACTTTTAATAATCCATGAGTTCATAAAGGAACGAATATGAACTATTTCCTAATCATGCGCATGGAAAATTATAAAATTATTATTATTTAGTAATCCTAAAATAGTACAAATGACAAATCTCTTTTTAATAATCCATGAGTTCATAAAGGAACGAATATGAACTATTTCCTAATCATGCACATGGAAAATTATAAAATTATTATTATTTAGTAATCCTAAAATAGTACAAATGACAAATCTCTCAGAACCTTAGATTTTAACTCATCTAGCACATACTCAGCTAAGAATACTTAAAGTTGTATTTTTTTTTTTTTGTCTTTTTGTCTTTTTCCGTGTCCGGCAACGGATCGCAACCCTCCCCAAGCGGCGCACTATCCAGTGCGCCACCGGGCCGGCCCTAAAGTTGTATTTTTTATAAACAGTTATCTTTAATCAAAATAAATCACTAATAAAGACCAAATTTTAAAATACAAACATTACTATGAGAATACAGTTTTTAAAATTATATAAAAGACCTAAATATTACACAGTAATTACAAAGACTCTTTTAAGTATAGCACAATTACCATGTCTGATAAACTGATATTTTTATTAGTTTTACTACTTTAAATTTTAAAATATCAACAAACAAAAAAACTTAAAACCAATCAAAGGCAAGGGACATAATGAGAAAGAATCTTTGTAGCTTTCCTTATTTAAAAGGCTTCTACAGGTAATTTAAAAAAAAAAAAATTTAAGTTTAAAACTCAGTAGAAAACTAGAAGACTATTTCACAGAAAAGAAATGCAAGTATTTTTTTTCCAAATGTGAAAAGATGCTCTACCTTACCCATAATTAAGTATGCAAAAATTATAAAGATGAAATACCATTTTTCCTATCATATTTACAAAAGTAAAAGAATTGATGTATTCTATGACTCTAGTGTGCAGAACAGGCTCTTATATCTTGGCGGGACTGTAAATGTACTACCTCTTAAGGGCAATACAGTAACAGTTATCAAAATTTAAAATGCAAATATACTATTTTGACCTAGCTGTTCCACTTATAGGAATTTCACCCTCCAAATATGACAGTACTTCAAAAAGTTCATAGATTTCATATTGTCTTTTAATTCTATTTTCAACAGACTTTGAAGTACCTCATATACATACAAAAGTTCAAAGAGATATATCTACAAGGATATGTACCAGATTGTTTGTAGTATCAAAGGACTGGAAATATCCTAAATGTCTACCATAGGAGATTGGGTAAATTAATTACAATATATCCATACACTGAAATATGATGCAAATATTAGTAAGGATATTAGTGATAATATACTTCTATATGAATAGATAAGGAAAAACATTCCAAGATATATTGTTAAACAAAGATGCAGAGATATATTCATTACATTATCTTTGTGTAAAGGGAGGGAGAGGGTGAAGAGCATGTTCACACCAGTACATAAAGTTTGTACATTGTCAGACTATCCAGAGGGATATTCAACAAACACTAGTAAAAAACAGTTGCCTCTGCTTAGGGTAAATAAGAACTAGGGGTCAGAGCTGAAAAAGCAAATTATATTTCATTATTAATTCTTTTGCAATTATTTATTTTACCATCATTCAGTAAGTATGAACAAAGCCCCATCAAATGTAGCCCTGGAATCTTCTCTATCCCTAGTAACAAAGGACTAATTCACATCTATCTCATCTCTAAATTTTCTAATGAACGTCGTCTCCACTCTTGCGCTATTCACTTACCCAAAATCCATGTCCAACTCAGCTGCCATTGTTATCTTCCTAAAACAAAGAAATGATCCCACTATTTACATACTTTACAACTGCTGTTTGGACTGTATAATCTGAAGCCCAGACCTTCAGCGGACATACTTGATTTGTATGAATAACACCTTATTTTAAAAATGTTTTAACTAGTTGTCAATAGTTTAAAATTGTGATATTATAGATTAAATCTAGATTTCTCTCTGCTCTTGAAGAACAGGAACCCCTATAACATGAGACTTGTATTTCTCCCTGGTAAAATCATCTGAGCAGCTACTGCCTTTAGATGGGGCATGAACTCTTCACTTTCAATTTGCCTGTCTCCATCGACCCTTATTTCTCCAACACATTGCCTGCTTGACTAAATTACTTATATTCCCTTCCTTTTCTACTTAGGTGTTTGAAATCACTGATCTAGAGCAGAAAATCCAAATTTTTTATCATGACATAAGAACCTTTATGTCTGACCCCAACCTACCCTCGCACACAAAGCTTTTACCATAATTTCTAGGCTTCCCAATCACAGGAAACTTCTCCCCATACCCTAAAACTCCTGTGCTTTTTCAGGTCTTTCAATCTGTTGCTTCCTCAAGACCTACTTACATGATTTCACCTAGGAACTTGTCTAAAAACTCCCTTCTCTTCAGACAAATATGTAGCTGATTCTTCTTCTGTACTATCGTAGTACTATACTTTGCATATATTTCTATTATGACAAGTCAAAACATGGGGGAGTTAAATTTGCACTAGGTAGAAGGGAGTAGGATTGCATCATAATGTTAAGTAGACAGTACTGACTGGTCGAGCAAATAATTAAAGGAGACAGATACAAAGTTAGTAGTAGAAATAAAATGTGCTATGGCAGTAAACTTAGAAATGAGTATGCAGATCAACATGACCTTGTAAAGAATAAAACAAAACATGGAAGAAAGTGTAGAATGACATAATGTCTGCATTATATCAATATGAAAGAGGGGAGCTGACATTACAAAAGAGACTGTAAGTGCCCCACTAGCAGCTGCCTCAATAACAAGGCCCTACTCCATGATGATATTAAAAATGAGAAAACTCACATTCAACATAAGATGAAATAAAAGTAAATCAGCCTAGCTACTTCTGTCTTAGGGGAAGATTCAGAAAAGTCAAAAAGTTTTATGCCATAAGAAAAGGCTGAAATTACTAGGAAAGGAACCTAGGTTATATGTAGAAGTAGAAACTTCATTTTTTTTAATTTGTATTTTATTTTTCAAAAGATGACCAATAAGGGGACATTAACCTTGACTTGGTGTTATCAGCACCACGCTCTCCCAAGTGAGCTAACTGGCTATCCCTATATAGGGATCTGAACCGGCGGCCTTGGTGTTATCAGCACCATACTCTCCCAAGTGAGCCACAGGCCGGCACTGAAACTTCATATTTTAAACCTGTTGTGTTTCGTATAAATCAGTGTAAATGATCAGGTAAATGTTCATAGATCAACTTGTCTAGCCCTCATGGAAGAAAACTCTACAGGGTCCAGAGTAAATGAGTCCAAAATAGAACAAAGTAAGACTCCAAAATATAAGTAGCAGCCTAAAGCAGGGCTGGCAAACTACTGTCCATGGGCCAAATCTGGCCAGTTTTTGTGTAGCACACGAGATAAGAATGGTTAGCCATATTTAAATTATTAAAAAGATATCAAAATAATATTTAATGACAGGTGAAAATTACATGAAATTCAAATTACTGTCAATAAATAAGGTATTGGAACACAGTCACATCCATTTAGGTACATATTAACTATGACCACTTTCACACTACAATGGCGGAGTTGAACAGTGGCAACAAAGACCGTACAGGCTGAAAACCTAAAATTTATAATCTGGCCCTTTACAGACACATGATCTAGAGCCACACTGTTTGGGTTTGAATCTCAGCTCTGCCACGTTCTTATAATCCTGGGCAAATTACCTAATATCTCAATGCTTCAGCTTATTTATTTATAAAATAGAAATTATAATACTAGCCGCCTCCTGAAAAGCACTTGGAACAATCCCTGATATTTAGTGGTACATGTGTTTTCTGACGATAACATAGTACTACTACTATTATTATTAACATTATCATCCAAGTTTCCTTCAACAATTCATAAGTAAACAAGATCTTTGGAGATTTGTTCTTATCAGCTATGTGTCAATTTTGTTGAAATATAATTTATAAAGAGTAATCAGTGTGTTATAAAGATTTTTGAAACATCTGATTAAATACATCAAAAAGTTTATTTCCAAAAATCTATTGTAAAATCATGAAATTTATCAGTTTTTAATGTTGAATATGCTAAATATGTTTCTATAATGTATGTTTAACATGTTCTATATGTTTTATTATGTTCTATATGTTAAGAGTCTATACATTACTCAATTTATAAATAATCTTAGTTCAAGTTATGGGTTACCTAGAGTTCATTTACCTATATGGAAATAGTTACCAAAGAAAGAATTACCCAAACACAATGATTTACATAAAAACAAAAACAATTTATAGTGGAATAAATACATTATAAATGGTATGCCTTTTGAATTAAAAAAAATGCACCAGATATTATCATATTTATTTGTCTTTC